ATATATGGAACCAGCAGGAAAACCAGCCATACTTGTATGTGGTCCCGCAGATGGGTGCGCGGCGCACGCATTCTGGGCCATTTTTTGGATCTAGCGGTAAAACGAGCGAACCCGTGATCAAGATGTCGTGAAGATTCCTCATTATTTTGGTTTGCCCAGTTTTGTTTTGCTATACCACTCCCTTAAATTTTGAATGGGAAAGGGGGGAGTGACACCTGCGTTTCTATGTATGGTGTCTTTTTTTCGTGTTGGCTTGTCTCCCACTTAGATATGGAACCTGCAAATCGGCTTCGGTTTTCTGCTGGTGCTGGTTTCCCTTTGAAAACAATCCCACAAATAAGGTACCCCCAAAGATGCGTTTCTGGCCTCAGCTTGGGCGCGAATGAATGGAAAACATTTTCCAGTGTCATCTATTTCTCCAAAAGGACACCGGACGCCGGGGGAATTGGCATGTTGTAAATCGGATGGATTTGCTTTCGGGCGGTGCATGCGCTGCTCTCGCGATTTTTTGGTTTACCACATGGAATGCTTCTGGTAGCCTGGAAGCCCAGTTCTCTCACTTACACTGTTTTTGTGGGTGTGCTTTTCAAGTGTGCTGAACGCCCCACATGGGGGGGAATCTTTTGATTTTGTTTTGTTCAATCCAGCTTCAATAAAAGAGTGCCCTCGCAAAAGAACGATGCAAATTCCGGTGTGAGTGTGTGTGTGTGTGTGCTTGTTTTTTTTTTTTTTTTTTGTGTGTGTTTGCGTGTTTACTTGTTTGTTTGTTTGTTTGTTTGTTTGTTTGGTTGGTTGATTGATTGATTGATTGATTGATTGATTGGTTGTTTGCGTGTTTGTGTTTGCTTGCTTGCTTGCGCGCTCGCATTTCTTGCTTGCGTGACGCGGCCTATTCGTTTTGTTTGGTTGTTTGTTTGTTTGCCTGCCTGCCTGCCTGCCTGTCTCTTTATTTGACTTGTTTATTTGGTTGCATTGTGTGTTTGTTTAATTGGTGGTGTGTTTGGTATGATTTTTTTTTGTGTTTGTGTGGTTGTTTGTTTTTTTGTTTGTTTGTTTGTTTTGTTTGTTTGTTTTGTTGGTTGGTTTGTTTGTTTGTTGGTCGATTTGGTGTGGTTTGGTTTGGTTTAGTTGGTTTGGTTTGTGTGGTTGTTTGTATGTTTGCTTCTTTCGTTCTTTCTGTCTTTCTTTCTGGGTTTGTTCTGGGCTCCGTCGTCCTGTAAACGCGCGCTCAAGCGCCAGTGGTTTCCCCACTGTAATGGACACACAACTCTTCAAATCATATGATTTTTTTCACACATTTCGAGCGTCTCCGCCATCCGCGCCGCAAAACGCACATTGCACAGAAATTGAAAGTTTTTGACCACGTCCAGCGCATGACTTGCATGCACTGCACACGCGCATTGCACTGCTCCAATGTATCCGCTCAGCACTGCGCACATGCTGGCACATGATAAGCACACCCGCTCCAGTGCATCCGCTCAGCACTGCGCACATGCTGGCACATGATAAGCACACCCGCTCCAGGGCATCCGATCAGCACTGCGCACATGCTGGCACATGATACGCACACCCGCTCCAGCGTATCCGCTCAGCAGTGCGCGCATGCCGGCACATGATAAGCACTGCGCACATGCTGGCACATGATAAGCACACCCGCTCCAGTGTATCCGCTCAGCACTGAGCACATGCTGGCACATGATATGCACACCCGCTCCACTGTATCCGCTCAGCATACATGCAGGCACAGGACAAGCACACCCGCTCCAGCGTATCCGCTCAGCCGTGCGTACATGCTGGCACATGATAAGCACACCCGCTCCAGTGTATCCGCTCAGCACTGCGCACACGCTGGCGCATCATAAGCACCCCCGCTCCAGTGTATCCGCTCAGCACTGCGCACATGCTGGCACATGATAAGCACACTCGCTCCAGCGTATCCGCTCAGCAGTGCGCACACGCTGGCACATGATAAGCACACCCGCTCCAGTGTATCCGCTCATCACTGCGCACATGCAGGCACATTATAAGCACACCCGCTCCAATGTATCCGCTCGGAACTGCGCACATGCTGGGACATGATAAGCGCACCCGCTCCAGCGTATCCACTTAGCACTCCGCACATGCTGGCACATGATAAGCACACCCGCTCCAGCGTATCCGCTCAGCAGTGCGCGCATGCTGGTGCAGATTTGAAAAAGGCAGGATCTTTGGCGGCAGCAATTCTGAGCACAGCAAGGTCGTCGATCCCTGTGAACTGCCAACGAAAATCAAGGTGCCTTTTCGAAACCCACTGTAAACGAGGGGCGTGACGTTCTTGTTTTTTTCGCGCGTTTACGGGTCGATGAAGCGTTGTTCTGTCTGTGTGTTTTGTCCTTTGCATTTGTGTTGGCGTGTTGGCGTGTTGGCGTGTTGGCGTGTTTGTTTGTTTGTTTGGTTGGTTGCTTTGTTTGTTTGTTTGTTTGTTTGTTTGTTTGTTTGTTTGTTTGTTTGTTTGGTTGTTGTTGTTTTTTTGCTTGTTTGTTTGTTTGTTTGTTTGTTTGTGTTTTTCATGGTTCGTTGTTCATTGCATTGTGTTTGCGTCTCTTTGTTTGGTCGTTTGTGTTTGTTTTGGTGTTTGTGTGTGTCTCGCTTGTCTTTTGAGGGTACCCTGTAGAGATTGTTTTGAGCGGACACTACAGATACTGCCACCATTTCTGGGACGGGGGGAAGGGCGGCTTAAGTCTTCCTACTGACTGAGGAAGAGCCAGCGTAAGGCGCCTTTGCAAGAAGTCCGCTAGCCTTTTACGGCAGCCGAGTGAGTTTGATGGTGGGCACTTGCAAGAAGACAGGAGAATTCGCCAGTAGATTCAGTAGATGTTGGCAAATCATAACGCGCTCACTAATATCCAGGAGGGGGGATCGTATTTCCAGTTTGCGCGTTGTACCAATCTGTCCAGATAGATTTGAAACGCATTCTTAAACGAGGCCCCCAGATTGACAGAGACCTACATAGTCTGCCCGCGCTGTTGACCAACACTGTTGAAAATTGTTTTGTTTGCCAAATTATGTGATAGATCCAATCAATTGGTCGACTTTTCGATGCTTTACAGAGACGAGTGCCACCCTCCAAAGGATGACAAAAACCCAAGATAGAACATCAGATTAGGTTCCTCTAGTTTCTCGTTAGGGTTACCCGTGGTGCCAGATACCCAAAGGTTTCCCCCGAGAGAATGCCCGTGCCCATCCAGCTTAGAGCGACTGCAGCTTTCAAAAAAGCGCCGGCACGGCAAACACATTGCGGCGGAAAAGCGGGTTGGGATTATATGCAGCTTGCAGTGTAGCGAGGGACTTTGTGAGCTATTTTGATGGTTGATTCATTTTTGAGACTGGAATTGCCGCAACATTTGCTCTTTGGATATAGAAGGCTTGTTTGCCTTCATGTCGCCTGTGGAAATGGCACAGAATCATTCGATGGGTAGATGTGATTGCCGCTGCGGCAGGTCGGTCGGAATGGGAAGCCACCCCTGGACAAACTCATATTTCGTCCCCGAATCCTCCAAAGACTCTTGTGTCACAGTGGTTTGCATACCTTTGTTTTATCGCGGCTTGGACCATTACTTTACCCATGTCCAGAGTACGGAGACAGCAGCCAAGAGCAGCTGTGATTGAATCTTTTGTAACCTGATTTGCGCAATGAGACGCTGAACACATGCAAAAAACATGGGGCAACAGGCTGACTCAGCAGTTCGCTGGATTAGGGGCCCCATGATGTACACCTTATTCATACTACCTCATACGTGGGGTGTTCATTAGGGGCGCCTAACAGGTATCTGACATCTGCGAGTGTTCTGTCCCCAGGTGTGATTGCAGGCGAGTAGGGGTGAACGATTCGACCACCAGTTCTTTCCCACATTAAACGAGGCACTTTGGTTCCAGCCGCCCTTGGGTTTCTTGAGGTACTAGATGCCCAGTGGTGCCTTTTTGCTTCTCTTTCCCAACAGCTGGAAGCCATGGGGTTGATAGGCCCAGATACGGCTCTGGGGTCATTTCCGGGCTGTTGTCCCCTTTTTGTTTTGGCCCTTTAAAGTCAACTACCAAGGGGTCGGTAGTTCAAGTGAATCTTGCAACCCCCTGGCTCCTTCACTTTCAACTATTTCCCACTCCCCGAGTTCCGTTTCGGACTTTCATCACTTTTTGGATTTGGACCAGTTTGGTGGTACATACAAAGTTCTGACCTCTTTTAGCCAATCCACTCAGGAAGAGAGATTCATGGTATGGGGAGCCCACTATTGTTTGAAGAGTGGTTTGGGGGTGTTTTGCCCAGCTTGTGAACACGGCTCGTGTGCAAAATGTATTGGGCCTCAAACATAGCTACCTCAATGCCTGGCTGCCTCAAAGCTTGATTTTAAGGACACATACCACGAAGCCGAATAGAGAGCGTGACCTTTTTTTCCCATGAACTCACCAAGGAACTAGGGGTCAATAGGTTCATAGAGTCTTTGAGCTAGCAATCACAACCACAACCTGAGCGGAGGTTCGCAGTAACTGGGGGCAGAGCAGGCTACTTCGGCATCCCTGCCAGACCATCGAGGTAATTAGCAGGGAACCATCCCACCGCACAGTGGCACGAAGTTGTCTTTGACGAATCACCGTCTCCTGTCCTCTCGATTGTTAGAGGGTAACAAGCCCAAACCTGGGAAACCTCCACAAGGGAATCCACTACCATCTGAGCCTATGGGTCTTGCGGATCGATTTTGAACCCGGCCAAACCTGGGCCCCTCCCAGTGAAATCCTCGCAGCCGTTGTGTCTTTGCCCCGAAACGGGGCACTTGTTTGTTTTGATTCATGCCTGCTTGCAACCCAAGGACCAGGAGGAACAAACATACTGAATGTAACTTACTTACCTGTCGGGGCAGCCAAGACAAAAAACATTTGTAGGCTTCAAAGAAAACCAAAAGGAAGACCACCAATTTGGTCCCCTACAAGACGCAGCCAAATGCTTGGACCCTTGCTCGCTTCAGGCCTTGAAGCCGGCGGCGGCGCGGGCATTTGCAGCCCGGAACCCCGAGCCGATGTCGCGACATATTGGCTTCCAGGGGGCTTAGGCTCAGGCCGTTTCTTTGACCCAAAGGAATCAGAGGGACATTTGTTTCAGGAGTTGTTTGTGTGTTTGCCCCAAAAGGAGAATGAACGGTGGTGTTTTTTGCTTTTCTACACAATGACTCCTAGGGGAATGTGCTGCTTTTTTCCGGGGTTGGCAACATTCTGCTCAAATATTCTCACCGAGCTCGCCTTTGGGGGTAAAAATATTCCGTGTTTCCCACGTGTGAATGGTGCCTGTGCACCAACATGGAACCCGAGTCCTTGGAGTGGCCATAGAGTTGAAGACTGGGTTTACCAGTTTGAGTTCCTGAAAGTAGATTCGCCTTCCAAGTGTCCAAAACGCCTTGAAGTGTGTCTGTTTGTTGAAAAGTAGGAGATTCTCCCCTAGTGACTTTCTTGAAGGGAACTCTTCGATTTTCAAGAAGAGTAACAGAACAAACCGCAGGTGAAGTCCAACTGTTGCGATACTGGAGACAATATGCCTGCAACCTATGGGGCTTACTTGGAGAAAAATGAGGAGACCCCCAAGTATGATTCAATCAGGGGAGGAGGTCTCTTAGGATTACGAGTCGAGTTCAGACAAACGAACAACCCACAGCTTCCAGAGACTCCTACAAGCATAAGAGGAAAGATCTGATGAGGCCGTGGACTCTAGTGCTGGCAAGGTCTTCACGCTCCCAGGTACATGAGACCTTCGTGGGTCGCGGAGATGTGTAGAGTTGACCCCCGGAAACCTAGCATGGATGAAGCCAACGACAAGCAACAACATTGTGTATACTTATGTATATATATATATATACTCGGCTGGTCTTTGATCTGACCTTAGGAATTTTATGTTTTTGTGGTCAATTTATGTGTTTGCTTCCATGAGATCACTGTGGCAACATTATTGCATGTTTGCTTTGCCATTCTGCCATGGGCACAGGTTCGACACAGGCCGTGAACAAGCGAAGCGCAATGTTCAAGCAACATCAGTTTCGCGGGTAACGCAGGACAATGCTCGAGGTGGGACGGGCGCAATGGCAGGCCGAATGGCGGCTGCATTTCGTCAAGGGCAACCCCCAAGCTGCTGGCACCAAGTCTGCGCAGAGGTGGGCCAGGTATTCCAAGGCGGTCACGGTGGGTGACGCGCGGCACCTCGGTGCCACCATCCAAAAGACCTGCAGCAAATAGACAAGGATGATGAGAACGATGTGGGCCGGCTGTTTGGGATTTGATTAAGCTGTTGATGCCGTTGGTGGCGTTAGTGCCCAGAGACTTCGAACATACTCGTTCGCCAAACCTGCAGCGGGCGTTGCGTGTCAGTGCGCCTTCTCGGACACAGGGGCCGTGAGCTCGATCAGTCAGTTCACTCGTGTTTAGATACCTAGGCAACATTAGCACACCACGACCAGCAGTTATTATTAGCCCAGACAAACGCTGACAGGCGAAGCAAACATGCCGATCGGTCTGCAGAGGCTTTCGAGGACTGCACGACCGGCACGCATCCACATTGGCGCAATCGTGCAATTTTGCCGGCTTGGCCAGTGTGCGCGCACGGGGCGCTCACCATAGCCGTATGTCATTCAGTTGTCCGTTCCACACCCAAAATCTGTCAGCGTGTGGGGTCCTGATCCCAGGACGGGGAAGATCTCATGTTGCCAGGTTGGAGACTTTGTCATCCTCCTCAGCTGGCCGGCAATTCAAAGGCGTATCCCCCTGCCTACAAGGCCGCGCTGAGAGAGGCGGTTGGCCAGGGACCTTTCGGCCGGGTCGCTTACAGGATGTCCGCATGGGACTGTCACACGTCCAAGATCAGCAAAGGCCGGCCCGAGTGCTGGCGCCTTTGGGTGGTGCAAACGGGTGTTGTTCGGAAAGCGGATGTGCTCCAGCGTCAAGCCAACTTTTGTTTGACTCTCACATGATTTGTGGGCAAGCACGTTTTTCTTCGGCAGCGAGAGCTCCTCAAGAGTGCGTTGCGGCTTTGCGTCCCACCGTCCCACCAAGCCAATGACAGCAGCCTGCTCTGACCGCCGACAGAAGGAGTGAAGGGAAATCATCTTCGGGGTGTAAACAAGCAACTGGACGCCCGTGAGAGATACATGACAATCGATGAGCGCATGAATCCGAACGGGTGTGGCCGTTTTTTCCTACGGATCGGAAGCTTTCTGGCCCAACAGTTTTGAGCTGCACACTAAACAGCCGCATTATGCTTCCTTCAATTGACATGGTGTTGTGGTAGAATCCATTTTGTTCTCACAACGCGGGCCTTTTGCGGCAGCCAGGCTTGCTCGTTGAACCCAGGGTGCTGACGCACAACTGTCTCACTCGTGTGGTGGACTGCACACACCTTGCAGATGACAGCGGCGCATCTCTTCCGCAGCTTGAGCCGGGAGTCTTGCGCGCAGCCCCCCGGGGCAACGCATACGCCAGGGTAGGCTCTTGCGCGCTGCTTGCAAGTCAGGTGGCAACGTTGTGTCCACAGCACCCTCGGCAAGGTGTCCTGTATTGCCAGGCATGCCCCACCTGCAAGATGTCCGCGAAGCACTCCCTGGCTTGATCGAAAAGGCTGGCACGAAGCCGGAAGCCACAAAGAAAACTGTTGAAACTGCGGATTTGGAGGGGCAGCTTTTGGATGGAAAGCTGGGTGGAAAGCCTCTGCCCACAAAAGCTGTCCACGCTTAATCTCTCGCCTGGGCGGGGGGGAGGTCATCCACGAACTGGCGTCCCATGAACGGACCTTGCCACTTGACATGTGTCTGTTTGTGGGGAATGCGATTTTGAGGTGGAGCGGTGTGCCACGGCTTGCTGCGCTTTTCCCGCTCAAAGTCGATGCTTGATCACTTGTTCAACGCCCCGGAGGTTGCAAATGGACACTAGCTACCTCTGGTCACGCCTCTTGCTTGCCGCCATGCGAAGCTTTCCACGATTAACACTTTTGGCGGGTCGATTGTGGCCCTTTCTTCCGGTTACTCTTGCTGGCTGCGATCGGCGGGTTGGCGCGAGCGGCAGGAGCCCGGCGAGGGAGCCTGCGAGCCGGTCAAGACTCGGGTCCTGGAGATCGCCTGGAGATTGTCACGGTGGCCTGCGCAGACGGAGGGCCCAGCGAGCAGGCCACGCTTGTGCGTCTAAGGATTCTTTGACGAAGATGAATTTGGCAACGCGGGAACGGGCGCACCGCACCCGCAGCTTGATGAACGGCGTCCACGAGCCCCTCAACGCGTTGTGCAACAACGTCATGGGGATGCAACGTCATGGGGATGCTGCGGACGGATGCGAAGAGCGTGGCCCGCATGCTCAAGACTTTTGGCTGCACATGTTTTGTCTGGGAAGGTGTCTCGTCTGGATTTGGAAGGGGTGCTGGCTCGACTGACCAGCGTGGACGGTCCGCCCCGGCAGTGAAAATGCCGCAGCAGTGGAAGGGAGGGCAAGCCAGGCGGCAAAGTGCTCAAAAAAAATACTTTCTGCAGAGTAGCGAAGAGCAGCCAAGAACACACACTTATTATTATGCACTTAGACCTATGCTAATACACATGTTCAAGTACACGTGTACATGTATAGATGAAATGCATATTTGCACATGCCAGGGGAGGGCGCAGTACGTAGCCTCTTTCAGGAGGACTGCTTTCTTTCACGGATGATTCCTCGCAAGAGGCAAGCAATGATGGATCAACGCACTTCAAGCCCATTTGACATTTTCTCCACGAACAAACGCAAGAGGTCCTTCGCAGAATCCCCTGACATTCATATATCTATTCAAAGTGAATTCCAGACCAGTGGTGAACGTGAGGGCGTGAAGAAAAACTATGAAAGATGATGTGGAATTATGACTTTCACATTGCTGTCCATGGTATGGCTCTGAGTCAGTCCCCCAAAGCGCCAAGGATTGGCAGAAGCCGTGCTCATAAGGATTGGCACTGTTCACGTTACACATGGCTGTTTTTGGGTGTGACCTCGCCACTTCCTTTGGGTATCAAATAGCTGTTCCATTGAACCTACAACAGGTTTGACCTTGTGCTCAAGGGGCGAGAGCAGCTCAGTTTGAGGGACCCAGTGTGCCTGAGGTAGTGCTGGCATCGCGGCACAGGTGCCCAGAAGATCGCAGAGCGAGAGAGGGAGCATACGCGTTAGTGGCGGGCCGGGTTCGGTCAGGATGAAAAGCAAGCAGAAGCTTGCACACTTTGCGCTCAGGAATCACTACTTTACAGGTTTGACACAAGTTGGCTGCAGGTGTCTACAGCAAACCTTTGTCCTTCTGGTTCACAGCCGACTCGCAAAGGGAGCCATTGCAGTCGACCAGGTGACTATTCGTGCCCTCATGATAACGTGTGTCAGACTTTCTCAGCTGCAGGGTTAGGATCAAGGTGAGGTCTTCGTGTCTAGAGGGTTGGGGTTCGGAGAAGTTGGAGTTGGGAGTCTTTGGGGTTTAGGCTCACCAGGCTTAAGTAGAGCTTGATTCCTGAAATATGTCGCAGGACATTTCCGAAATCTGGAATGCACAGTGGGCTTGTTGCTGGTTTACTTGCATTGGTTGCTCCACCCCGGGCCGTTTCGCAACCTTACATACACTTCCTTGAATGCGCGCCGCTTTGATCTTTGCTTTCCATACGGTGAATGATAATGTTTGGTACGTTCGCTTGTATTTGTTTCTTTCTTTGTTTGTTTGTTTGTTTGTTTGTTTGTTTGGTTTTCGTTTTGTGTTTGTTTGTTTGTTTGTTTGTTTGTTTGTTTGGTTGTTTGTTTGTTTGGTTGTTTGTTTGTTTGTTTGTTTGGGTGCTTGTGTGCTTGTGTGTTTGTTTGCTTGCTTGCTTGTTTTTTTTGCTTTGTCTGTGTTGTCTGTTTTTTTGTGTTGTTAATTATTTGCTTGTCTTGCTGTCTGTTTCTTTGTTTGCTTGTTTGTTTGCTTGTTTGTGTGCTTGTGTGCTTGTGTGTCTGTGTGTCTGTGTGTCTGTGTGTCTGTGTGTGTGTGTTTGTGTCTGTGTCTGCGTGTCTGTGCCTGTGTGTCTGTGTCTGTGTCTATGTCTGTGCCTGTGTGTTTGTGTGTTTGAGTGTTTGTGTTTTGAAAGTTTGCTTATGTGTTTGTTTGATTGGTTGAACGCTTGATTGTTTGTACGGTTGTTTTATTGTTTGTTGTGTTGCTGGCTGGCTGGCTGGCTGGCTGGCTGGCTGGCTGGCTGGCTGGCTGGCTGGCTGGCTGGCTGGCTGCTTGCTTGCTTGCTTGCTTGCTTGCTTGCTTGCTTGCTTGCTTGCTTGCTTGCTTGCTTGCTTGCTTGGTTGGTTGGTTGGTTGGTTTGTTGGTTGGTTGGTTGGTTGGTTGGTTGGTTGGTTGGTTGGTTGTTGTTTTTGGGGGGGATTTGTTGGTTCCTTGTTTCGCTGATTCGCTTGGTTGTTTCAGTTGTTGTCTTCAAGACACCCACGGAAAGATCGGCCGCACTGCATAGCCCGGCCGTGCGCCCCGTGCGACCGAGGCTGTACCTCCCTAGCGCCCAGGCAGTCTTCGAGGCGGAAAGCGTGGGGAGAACGGGATAGTCCCACTTGGAAGTAGTGATGTAGTATAGCAAGCTCCAATTTTACCAGGTTCTGTTTGCTTAGTGCAGGGATTATGGTGGATCCAGCTTAGTACTACTTTGCTTTGTGCTGGTGCTGCAATCATGGCTTGCTTAGCACGCACAACAGCCCCTCCACGCTGCTTGGCCACTCACGAACTGTCGCAGAACATGAGCATTGCTCACCAGGCCACAGCCACTACATTGACATGTCCGCAAATCAAGGTGTAGCAGCAGCATGCTATGCAGACTTTGCCCTGCATATATTCTGTTGGAACGGTTTCCTATCCAAACGCCAGTATAGAGCTATACCTAGAACTTCCTGCGGCGGAAATTTCTGCCGCAACGCATTGCGGCGGAAATTCCCGCCGCATTCCAGAAAATCAGCCGCAAAAACAAACAAACGCCGCAACCAAAACAAAAACGCCGCAACACCGTTTGCTTTCCGGGAATTTCCGCCGCATTCCCGCCGATTTCCGCCGCATTCCCGCCGATTTCCGCTGCAAATCGTGGGGTAGAAAAACTGAAAGCAAGTTCTGCCGCAATTCTAAAAACAGCGCCGCAAATCAGGAAGAAATGCCGCAAATCCAAAAAGGCGCCTTTTTTGATTTGCGGCATAATTTCTGCCGCAACGAATCTCTAGGTATACAGCCCGTATGAAAGCGACTTATTTGTTGCCCTACCTGCAACCCATGCTCCAAGTGGCGCATTTGCGTACAGGTGACATGAGCTTAAGATGCCACACACTGCATGCTGGCAAAAGGTGTACCTTCAACACGCCAAGCCATGTCAGCTTGTTTCGAATCCTGAACCGCATGAGATCGCCAAGCATAGGTGTCCTTTTTAGGTTTGTTTGGTGCGAATCAGATGGTCTTATTCTATGCCTTTAGCTTATGTTAGATGGAACTGGTTTGGATTGGTTTTATTCCATTTACCACGCCATGGATTTGTTCACGCCATGTTGGATCCATTTCCTTTTAGCACATCTAATTTTTCCCACAGGTCACCCACCCCACGAGGACCACGACGTCGTTGAACCTCAGGCGATGCCTCGGATCCGGCGCCGGGGCCTGGAGCGCTTGCTGATGCTGGCGCTCTGCGTGGAGGCGAACCGCGGCGAGTCGCTTCCTTTTGGATTTTCAAGCGAAGAGGCCGAAAACCGTTTTGGCTTTGGTTGGATGGAGGCTCCTTTTGGTTGGATTTTAACGGGGAGGCCAACAGGAAAGACGAACACCGTTGAATGCTCCCTGATTTTTTGGGAGCCAGAATCAAGATTTCGAGTTTGTTACTGGAACTTTGGAGGCAAAAGGTACTCGTTCTGGGAGTGGCTGAAAGGGGAACCAAACGTAACAACTTGTTTGCACTGGTTACTGAATTTCGGGTCATTTTGGTTGTCGAAAAGTTCGCTCCCTTTTGGGTGTGTCCTAAAATTGAATGTGGAACGATCGGATTCAGAGTCACGCAGATGAGTGTGATCCTTTTGGCACAGGTGAAGACAGGTCAGGGGGCTAGCAAAGTATGAATCTGTCTTGGAATGGCGGACCCAAAGCAATAGAGTTTGCTGTCCTTTCAAACCAACTCCACTAAGTTCAAGAAACACACACACACACACACCTGACATCGCCTTTGGGCACAGGACGTGCGCCGCAAACGTAAGATGTGGAAGCCCTTTGCTGACAGTAGTTACCACATGGATTATCTTTCAAGGGAGCCAAAGGGAAACCCGCGCTCAGTTTGGGGGATTTTTTAGACAAAAAGACAAACCCGTTCTGTTCTGGGTGGCGCCACAATCCAATATATACGTATCGTGGTAAGCTACTGGGGGTAGGGTGAACAAAAATCCTAATGTAAATGATGTCCACCAAGGGTTCAAGCTTGACAAATCACACCAACCGGGCGTTCGCTTGTTTCCGCCTTGCCATATTTGGAAAGCAAAGGTTGTTAGCTCAGTTGCTGTTTGCTCCATCCACGAAGTCACCGACGTTGCAGGGGTCAAAACGACTCACCCCTGCGTGTCAGCTTTCCACAACTTAGTTTGCCGTTTCAATTGTTCGTCCATTTTTTCCTCCTTCATGTTCTCTTTCAGCAGAACATTGTCGCTTTTTGCAGGTCTAAGTCTGGCCCATGAGGGCAGAAAGTGTATATAACTGTCATGAGTTACGCTGCACAGACGGAGGCCTGGCCCTGTTGCCTTTCTGTTTGAAATGGGGAGGGCTGGACCTGCGGCGCCAGTGAACCTCCCGTCCACTGACATGCAGCGCCCCAGAGGGTGCCTCTTAAGAAGAGGAACATGGGTTTCCAAGAACCCCACAGTCCGGTTCCAGGTTCGTAGATGGGAGGGCAACCTTTTCGGGTGTTTTCACTGAAAGCCAGAAGGCAAACCACCCATTTTGCGGCACCCGGCTATTGGAATTCAGGAGCCCCACACACCCTTGACGGGAGATGAGAAAAACAATCGGAGGCCTGCTTTGTCAGATGCTGAAATATGAAGTTCCTATGAACATTGCAGAAACAGAGGGACTTGTGACTCGTCTACACATTGGAATGATTTAGGCCCTTGGTGGCCCGCAAACACACCAGGTGTGCAATAATTGCCCTCAGTTACCCTCATGGGTCAAGTGTTGGTACGTATACAAAGGAAACCCTCGTCCTTTTGGAAGCAAATGGCTTTCCCATTCCAGGGCGGAAAAGCAACCCAGCCTCAAGACATTTGCATGGAACTGACTCTCAAGTAGAAGCTCATTCAACCAGCTAAGGTGGTATTGAGTTGAGAGATCGTGTGTACTATGCGTACTTGTTTGTTGGTTTGGCTTTCCATCACCTTGCCAGGCTTTTGGCAGGCTCAGTCGCCTGCTTCTTCTGCTGGCTCTCGCACCCTGACTGGACTTTTGACCTCAATAGAGGTTTCCACTAAGGACATGTATTGTTTGGGTTTCATGCCGCTATTGCTTGTCAGTGTCTTCTTGTATTTGTTTTGTTTGCTTGCTTGTTTGTTTGTTTGTTTGTTTGTTTGTTTGTCTGTTTGTGTGTTTGTGTGTTTGTTTGTTTGTTTGTCTGTGTGTTTGTTTGTTTGTTTGTTTGTTTGTTTGTTTGTTTGTTTTTTGTTTGTTTGTTTGTTTGTTTGTTTGTGTGTTTGTGTGTTTGTTTGTTTGTTTGTTTGTTTGTTTGTTTGTTTGTTTGTTTGTTTGTTTGTTTTCGTTTGTTTTCGTTTGGTGTTGTCTTGTGATTTGTACCAGCTTATTGTAGATGATGCTTGGATGTTTGCTTTCCAGAATCCAGTGCACTTATTGATCGAAGCAGGGGCAATCTGATAGTTTACTGCGGTCCTGTAAGTTTGTATACGCATGTTTACGAATCCACAAGCTTTCCTGGCCTTTGTGACGTTATGTCGGCCATATGGGGCTGTGTCAAGAGGGGGCACCCCCGTTCCTTTTGATTTTCCTTTAAACCACCGTGCAATGAAGCAGGGGTGATTTCTTTTGAAGAGAATGGACAAATCCAACCTCCTGCGTTTTGTTTGGGGGTGGGTGGGCAAATCCAACAATGGTACCCTTGAAAGAGCACACGCAATCAGCAAAATCAAAGCCTACTCAGAGAGACAGAAACTCCACGCTGGACCAGGCTTATCGGGCTCGTCCGTCAGGAACTTGATTTTGTAGCTTCTTGTATTATGATCTAAGAGCATTACAACTACCATTATGCATTGTGTTTCAGGCAGTCTTCGCCATGACCTCCAGCCCTCTTCCAGTGACTGGAGAGTTTGGAAGTCATTGCCCTCTGCTGGAAAGCGGCGCAGTGGGGCCGACCCTGGTCATGTGTCATGGTGACGGTTGAGCAGTTGCGGCCCATTTTGGTCACTTGTGTCTCTCAGTTGTTTCTTCAGTGCCAACCAAGCTGCACTTGCAAATTGGCATTGTTGAGGAAAGCCCAAGTACTTGTTTGGAGATTATTTCACAACCACCCAACATCGCGATCAAGGTCTTCAACACCGGCGTTCAAGTGGGCTTAAGGAGACAAGTGCCTGAGTCAAAACTCCCCTGTACCTAAGGTTTCCAGCGATGGTCGTGGACCCCTCAATGGGGATCTCACACAACCCTGGTAAGGATTGGGAACCATGACCCAGGGACGTGTCAGACGGCCCGATGCCCGAGGTATTCACATCGGTGCTTCTTTTGCCGCATCCCCGACGGGCGGATGGCATGAGGGGTTCACGGCGCGCTCACCGATCCGGAGGTAAATCGAGCAAACACAACGGAAGTTTTCCTTACTTGGGGATTTCTTATTTCATATGCGGGCTAATTTCGCCACACAGATGGTTGGTTCGCCAGCATGACCCTTTAACCCGCCCCGAACAGTTCACACGAATGCATGTTGTTGGGCACAGCCAACATGAGCAGGTTGGACCATGCATAGCATCGTCGCCAAAGGGCAAGAGTGCTCACACCCAGAATCAAAGGTTTCTTTTTGATGGCCCTCCAACCATTTGAGGACTGTCATGTTCATGATTTCTTTAGACGGGCCATTGTATGGTTCAATCTACGCATCGTCCATGCTCCGTGCAAGTTATAATTTATTCAAGTGAAGACGATGTTTGGGACAGACTGTTGCTACAGAAGTACTTCATGCAGGATGACATGATGCGACTGCAACGACGAACAGTCTGAACGCCAAATGCTGCTTGAAGATACACATAGGTTTCAGATCATTGATCGCCAGTTTTAGACATGTGACCAACGGGAGGTGTTGCCAGGTTTGTTTTGGCAGATGTACGGCATAGTTCACAATTGCACATGTTAAAACAAAACAAAAAAAACAAAAAAACGGAAGAAAAACAACAAAAACAGCCTATGGGCGTCAAGTAAGAGCGAATACTACCATGATTGTTTTCAGTGGTCAAAAAAGTTTTAACAGGGGTAGCTTCTCAAGCTGTGTGAGAACATGCTTTACCCTTGTGGGGACAATATGAAGCTAGGAGAAAAAACAACTTTGGGGAAACTATGATTTTTAACAGCACCCATTGCTCGAGTCGTTTGGTTGTTTTGCCACGGTAGATTGCCACTTGGGAAGGCATGGGAAAACTGGAGAGAAAACCACTACAACACCGGTGACACTCTGGCGGACAGCCCGGGAGCCCTGAAACGAATGGACAAGCAACACCTTTTGTCGTGCCAAGCAGTGCTCTCCTTGCCCGCTTAATTGAAACTTCTCATTCAAGCCGCATTGCTTAGCAAGCGCCATTTTATTGCTGGCTGCGATGTACTTCGAAAAGAGGTTTTGCCAATATGAAGACCTTTTGTCGACTGGCTTTTCAGAGGAAGACAAAGGTGCTGGGTGTCCCTATGTCAGGAAATGTCCAATGCAGCTGGAGACAGGACAGATGATATTTTTAGTGCCCTGGAAGTCTCCTAGTCTTATCAATGTGCTTGAGGTGATGCTGGTTCTAGGAAATGGCCGTCACTGGCAAACATGTGAACCTTTAGAGGCAGATGGGTGTGTTGCTTCCGGTTGCATCTAAGTGCAAGAGTCATGAGGCAGACCCGATTTGATTCTTGTATCTAAATGTAGCTGAATCTCATCCATTTGTTACACACCTCTTTTTATGCAGTTTGTCCTGCCACGCCTTGTACCATAACCTCATCCAACATTTGCCCAACAGCTGACGTTTAAACCAGCTGAAGAGGAATATATTGAAAGTCCTGGAGTCAGTCAGCAAATGTGTGAAGTCACTGAACCATGCTGAGAGCCAAAGGCACCTTGCACGGCACCGCCTCACACAGTGGGCGGCAGCAGCAAAGGCCGGTACGGGGAGCGATGGCCTGGTGGAAAAACGAGCTCACTTAACTCGCTATATGAGCTCGCGGGCTTACCTCGGACATGTTTGTTGAGATTTCTATTGTAGATGGGGATTCCGCACTTTATATAGATTGAGGCATTGTAGTCTCAATTAAGATTGAGGAGTTGTAGTGACAAACGCAAATGGGTTCCATGGCAGGTCATTAGGGCATCATATTGAAAGGCATCTTTGTTTCAGTTTCTGGTTTTCCATGCGGCACCGCAGCCAGCTGAATTCGGATCATTTGGTGGGTGCGTGTCTCCCGGATTGGCGTATGCCAGGAGGATGCCGATCGTGTGGGGCCTTTGCCCCAAATGTGGAAATTCCTGGGCACCCCATGAATCAACCAGAAGTTTATGAAGTGTTTATGAACCCTTGGCTTTTATGGGGGTTCATGCCAGGGTTCATACATTTTAGCCTTTGAACAGCGTGCCAACCTCCTTCAAGACCAGGAATTCATTGCATGCTACTCTGTCTGGCACATATGATCGGACAGCCTCCCGGTTTCATGGGATGCCGGGTTCCGGTCCGCCCCTGTGTTTCTTTTCCCAGTATATTTTGTTGGAACCCTTCGGAAAAAAGAAAGGCAGTGCATATCACATGTGTGTTTAGCTCGGTGTTGTAGTTGCACATAGATTTGTTCAACTACAACATCTAGCCACGAACGAGACCTAATTCAGGAACTATGCCATTCAGCATGCGCATGCCCCGCGTTTTGCCTTCAATTTGGTGACGAAATATTTGATTGAAGGTATGGGGATTTATGGGGCAGAGTAGGGGCAGTTTGCACAGCATCCGCGCGATGCGCACGCGCGCCCATTTGTTTCTGCTCCAGAGGGTGAGGCATGCGCGCGCGCAGTATGTGAAGACGCTGTGCTTCAGCAGCCAACATGCCGTCGCTATGGCAGGGGTTCTTGTGAGGCAATTGAAACAATCCGAGTCCTGGCCGAAGTCTTCCCAGCCCTTCTGGCATTCACGGTCGCCGGTCAATTATCCGCTTTTTCACTTGCATTGGGCCGGGTTGTCAAAACATGCAATTGTTTTCTAGAAAACCAACGTCAGGGTTGCGCTTCTCCCTCGTGAGGAGTTGATCACTGGTATATTAGTACACGTCAACATATGGAGACCCCACAAACGGTTGTTTTCGTTTTGGTTTCCATTTTGTCCCCCAACCCCCAAAAGGAGTACCCCCAGCAAAGCACGCAAACACACAAACACACAGCCATTCGCGTGAGTCGCGCGGCGTCGGCCGGCGATGATCCACCTAGAAGTAGCGCTGTTGAGCGGCGCGAGTGCCAAAGTTGTGGTTGACTTGGACTCCACGGTGCTGGACCTCAAGCAGATCCATGACGATGTGGGTCTGTTTGTAGGGGGTGTCTCCTGATCTTGAGACTTTTTTGATTTTTTTTTCTTGGAGGGGGGAAGTTCTCTTGTTTGGGCGTCCTCTCTTCTTTTGGGGGTTCTCCAGTTGAGACAGACCCCAGTGGTTTGGAGAGGGAAGCCAGGGCCCATTGTCCTTTCTTGAGGCCCTTGGCTGTGAACTTTCATGAGGGACCCTTTGGTGGATATCGTTTAAGTGGGAATGCATGTCCACCAGCTGTGTTGAAGGTGGTTCCCTATTGCGACCACTTGTGTTTCGGTCTGAAGATTTGGAGGATCCCCTTGTGAATCAGGTGATTGGATGCATTTGTCGGGGGAAGCCCATTGAAAGCCATAATTTTGGGCTTGTCCCAAGCTTCATTACCACTTTTGTATAGAGGGTGTGAGAAGGGAATCAACATGGAAATCAAGCACATTTACTTGGGAAAATCAACTCGCAACCTCACACCGTGTTGTGGTTTGCGACCGAAAACCCATGAGTAAGGTGTCTTTCTTGGTGTCCCTTGCTTGTTTCAGGCTGGTACATTGAAACATTGACATTGACCCAGGTGCTGGGGGTAGTACTCCTGGAAAGCAACTCTCGAGTTGTTTCAGCAAATATGAGGGATGACTTCAGCAGCATCCATGTGCGAATCAAAGCCAAGCTACTCAGACCCGCTCCTTTTAAGCTTCGGCTTTGTGAATTATTATTCTTATTGTCACCATCATTACCATGATAACATTACTATGATCCGTCCATTGTCCATTGAGGAGAGTTCAGCAAGAGCTGCAGCTGGGCATCAGCGATCTGGTGGCGGACGGTCAGATCTTGGACCCCGGCAGCAGCACGGAGAAATGGACGAGGGCTTCAAGTCCCCCTTGCAGGTTCTTTGGTGCATTTTCCTCGGATGTGAGGACTTTGACTTTTTGCCAACCAATGGGTTTTTCATTCAACCGCCAAAAGTTAAACTGTTAGCAGGGGAGCAGAAAGCAACCGAGGGTTAACATGGAACCCCCCAAAAGACTTGATGGAAGCCACGAACCCGAACACGGATCAATTGCCAAAAGCTATCGCAGCTTCTCTGCAGGTAACAGTTCTGGGCAGCATGTTTGAGACACGTCTCACGCGACGAACCAAAGCAATGCTGCAGGCAACGCGCCAGGTCGATGCGCGGCGTATCACAAAGGGTTCACAGCAGCGCTTGGGGTGGCAAATTCCTTTCTTGCCCTTGTGTCGCATTCTTGGCTGTTCCTTCCTTGCAATGCTAGCTTTGCGACAACCTTTGCAAGCTGCTAGCTTGAATGCTTTGCTTGCACGCTTGCTGCGCTTACTCTGCATGTGCGTTCATTATATAAATTAGTCGCTGTAAACAACAAACACATTTCCTTCATATGGCTACGCCCTTATATTAACACGTTGTTGTTTGTGGCACAAAGATGTTTCTTGTCATCTCCGGCCAATTGCACCTCACCGGGGAAACTTCAGAAGCAAGTGCCACGAGTTTCAAGATTTGATGACATATCCGTTTTCAGTCTGCACACACACACACATGTTGGAAACTGTCAAAGTTGTAGCCACACAGGTCCCTATATTTCCCTTGGTGGTTTCTAACATAGTTGTTTCATTTGAGGTGAGTTTCCCTTGTGGGCCGATGTTCTAAAGGAACGGGAATCTGAGGCACGCTGCGGCACTCCAAGCTGGTGCAGGGGCAAATCATCACTGCAACGGCACGCAGGGCGCGGTTGGTGTCTGGCTTTCACCTGGCATCTTGGATGAAATGGCTCAATCGAGTAAATGGGGGTGTCTTTTTTAGTCGCCGCCACCCCCCCCAAACAAATAGAAAGAAAGTGTGTGTGTGTGTGTGTTCTTCGATGGTGGTTTTCCTCTTGGTTTCCCTTTAAAACCCCCCAAAACGGTAGCCTCAAGACGAGGCAGACCCATCTGAACAAGTTATGCATGCATACGACCTCAATCTTTATTACCTTTGACAAGCTAATAAATCTTTGAGCTTTAATATCACTATATAGTTATGCATGGATATTTAGTGATAAGGTTGGATTTTATTGTGCCTGTATAACTAGTGGTAATGTAGATGATAATGTATGTGGTGTTTATAACGATTTTGTTGGGGCTCTCAGGCTGGAATGTTACGGTAGACGACCTTGCCAGGGTGAGTCGCTGGAATGCTACGCAGGTTAGCCTGTTTGTTGCCCTTTGCGTTTCGCCAATCCCGATTTAAGCCGTAAAATTTATCTTGGTGCAGGGGGGTTCAGGCCGGCCAAGAAGTGTTATGTTTGTTTTGTTCCTCTCGTATGAGAGGTGGAATTGACCCTCAATGAAACGAATGAGAGATGCCAAGGGCAAGCCATGTGGCTGGCACGATGCTTTTCAGTTTCACATCAAAAGGCAGATGCGCAGTGCCCAAACTCCCCGTTGTCAATTTGAGTGGGTGGTTCTACTTCCTGGTACATTGTTTGGTTCAATGGATTTTGGGCACTCAGATGAACTTTCCCCGAGCTCTATGAAAGCGTTCGCCTCAGGCCTCAGGAGGGCATCACCCACCTTTTGCAACTTTCGCCCCCCTTCGTATCAGAGACGCTGCAGACATGTCTCTTTGGATTGGGCCAGCTGTTTGTTCGCACGGGCGCGGGGAGTCCACTTCGTGTGGCCTGCGGGCTACCAGAAACATGATCCCAACTCGGGGCCCACTGACCTGGCCCAAGTAGATGCTATGCTGGTTTTCTCTTGATTTCGCGAATCAACCAGCCAAAGGTTTACCCAGTGTTCCGATGGGACGGTGTGTGTGTGTGTGTTGCCTGTGTACCCATTCAGGGCATAATTTCTAAACCAACCAAGCAAACAAACAAACAGCCAAACAAAGAAGCACATAGTCAAACCTTGCACCATGTGGCATTCCTCGCATCCTTTCTGCAAGCTGAGGATGCCTTCGCGCTCATCAAAAGCGACGGTGGCGTGGTGACCTGGGGCCATCCCACGCGAGGGGGCAACAGCTCCAAGGTCCAGAGCCAGCTGTTTGATGTGCGGCAGATCGTTGGCTCTTCAGGCGGAGTGAACCTGAGTCCCATAAATGAGACTTAGCAGCCTGGGGTCTCGGGCGCGTGGCGAATTGGGCTATGTTCTGAGATGCCGAGGATGAGATGCAAGATGGGTTTGACTCAAAAAATGGCAATACCTTTGTGGGTGATTTCCTGTGGATTTTTGGTCGAAATAGAACGGTGATTCGCAAACCAACAAACCTATAGGTGTTTTTTAGTGGAGAATGTCATATCTTAGAGTGGATCCTTCACACTGGGCGGGGCCAGAAGTGCACACACACACACACACACCCGGCCCCCATTTATCTGCCGGGTTGTCGGCTCTTTGGGCGGCTTGTCCCAAATGGATTTGTCTCAAACTCAGGAACTTAACCCCCCACAAAAATGGGGGGCCAAACGTCAAAACGGGACACATCCAAATAGGAGCACACAGGCGACCAAACCGGAGCTTTTTCCTTGAGACAACACGGCTGAGTCCTCAGATGACTTGCTGGTTCTCACCAAAAAAAGCAACACGTCAGCGAATAAATCGGAAGGGGATCCTCT